TATCCAACTTAACATACTGTTAAATGGTTTCCCTATATCAAGACACGCAAAGGGCAAATTTCTAGGTCTTCTCCTTGGCTGTAATCTTAAATTTCAGTCCCATACTCATCACATAGCCAAGAAAATTTCCAAATCAGTAGGAATCCTTTCCAAGATGCGATACTATGTACCACAAACGACTCTCCTCACCCTGTACCACTCTCTAATAAATCCTTACCTCACCTATGGTATTTGTGCCTGGGGCTCAACCACAGCCAACTACCTTAGACCCTTAATAATCTAACAAAAAGCTGCTATGTGGGTGATAACCAGCTCCTGTGCTAGACAGCACACCCCACCACTTTTTAAAAGACTCGACTTGCTAAATACGTATACAGGACATACACTCTTATTATTGTGCCTACTACATATACAGAATATTAAACTCCACTGTAAACCCTCCCCTAAAACTACTACTTGGCAGTTACACAGAATGCACAGGCACAATACAAGGCATAAGGCACTTTTCAACATCCCTCAAGTCACTCTCACTATGCAAGAATGCTATGCACATAAAAGGCCCGAAGATCTGGAACTTGTTACTGGAACAGGTGAAGGATCCCCTTGACAGCTTATAAATTTAGGACTTTGCTAAAAAATCATCTTATCTCACAATATTAACCATATCAACCAAACATCTGCTAACTAGTTTTATTATGTGACCTCTAGGCTCTTAATTCTGCCAATCCATAAAATCGTCTTATTTCTCAATATTAACCAAATCTGCCAAAACATCTGCTAATTAGTCTTATCGTATGACCTCCTTGCTTTTAACCCTTAATTAAACGGTCCAAACGTATATATACGTTCACGCGCGTAGCGCCCCAAACGTATATATACGTTTTCTTTGTCATTCATTCAACGTTGCCACAATAAGCCTGAGTCACCTAGACATGAGAGAATGGGTGTGCGCACTCACTGTGTGCCATATTAAAAAATTGGGGATGCCTGGGTACCATATGCTCTTTTTTCCTTTTAAAAGAAAAGATTTTTTTTTTCCCTTAAAAAATTTGGGGCGCTATGCGAGTGAACGTATATATATACGTTTGGACCGTTTAAGGGTTAATTCTGCCATTCCATAAAATATTACCACCTGCACCATTACTTCTAAAGTAGATTTTGTGTGCAATTTAAAGCTTATTTTACTGAACTCTACTCGCTTGTACTAAGTTTAAATAAGACTTATTATTTTAAATAAGGTTGTAAAACAGCTAACCACTATTCCTTGTCTAGTTTTAAGTATAGTTACTATGTACTATTATCTTATCTAGTTTTAATTAATTAGTTACTATGTATTAGGATTAGTTGGCCGGAAATGCCTCGGCATGATAGTGGCTATCTTTGTACTTAGCAAATCAAAATTGTAATTACACATTGTAACCTTTACAAAGAAATAAACTTTACTTTACTTAGGAGAGCTGATTGGGGTACATAGTACCGTATCTTTGAAAGGATGCCTATTTACTGTTTTGGAGTCTTTCTTGGAAATTTGCTGTAAGTGTGTCTGAAATTTGAGACTGCAGTCTAGGTGGAGACCTAGAAATTTGCCCTCTGTCTGTCTAGAAATAAGTGAACCATTTGTCAGTGTGTTTAGCTGTACATTTGAAGTTCTGTTTCCAAAAAGCATGAAGTAGGTTTTGTCTATATTGAGAGTAAGTTTGTTGGTAATCATCCAAGTAGATATTTTTAGCAGTTCAGCATTTACAGTGTTAGTATGGTTGGGTTTGGGTGAGAGAAGACATAAATTGTCATCTGCAAATAAAATGGGTTTAAGGAGATTAGATGCGTTTGGTAGGTCATTGATGTAAATGAGTAAGAGAAGTTTGCCATGCTGGCTGCATGCAATCCAACGTATGAGCCACAGCCCGGCTGGTCAGGTACCGACTTTAGGTGTTTGTCCAGTGCCTGCTTGAAGACACCCAGGGGTCTATTGGTAATCCCCCTTATGTATGCTGGGAGGCAGTTGAACAGTCTCGGGTCCCTGACACTTATTGTTTTGTCTCTTAATGTGCTAGTGACACCCCTGCTTTTCATTGGGGGGATGTTGCATCATCTGCCGAGTCTTTTGCTTTCATTGTGAGTGATTTTCGTGTGCAAGTTCGGTACTAGTCCCTCTAGGATTTTCCAGGTGTATATAATCATGTATCTCTCCCGCCTGCATTCCAGGAAGTACAGATTCAGGAACTTCAAGCGCTCCGGTAATTGAGGTGTTTTATCTCCGTTATGCGTGCCATGAAGGTTCTCTGTACATTTTCTAGGTCAGCAATTTCACCTGCCTTGAAAGGTGCTGTTAGTTTGCAGCAATATTCCAGCCTAGATAGAACAAGTATGTATGTAAAACCGTTATAAAAATTTAAAATTATATAGGATGTCTTAAAAAATATCTGTTCACTTTACCCCTGTATCCATCTTTTTACCCCTCTAACCTCTTTCTCTCTACCAGTAGTGCAGCCAGGATTGAAATCCTGGCTGCACTAAAGAAATTGTCTTTAAAAACATGATTTTCAATAGGTATGTGGCATTTCTTAAGCTATTGTGCTTTCATGGCCATTGGTCAATATACTGTACATTGAAAATTAACCATTAATTAAAAAAAAAATTTGCACCTGGGAAACCTCTCCACCCTGTGGCTGTCCTGCTGCTTCTCTCCCCTTCCATTCTCTCCCTGCCCACCCTCTTTAAGCAAAATTTAATTAATAGTTTTACAAATGTATGCATGCTTAGGAGGAAGTAGTTTAGTTTGGTATCACAGGAACACTTCTAGTTCATTCCGTATGAGTTTTCTTATGCAGTGTTTATTCACTTTTTTATAGTTGTGCAATTTGCAGTTAGTAACACACTGGCCATCTCTCATCGAGGTAGTGACCTACAAAACAGGAAACTTTGTTTCTTTCTTTATTTCATGTTAAGAGCTTAATCCAGGTGGGTCATTCAGAGCAAGACGTGGTGAAGGCTCGATCCTTCGAATGCTGAAAATGAGATAGACTCACTTTGTATTTGTACTAACCTACATGTCAAATTTCCATGATTGTAACACAAAGTTCTGGATTTAATGGACTATGTTAAATCTGAAATTAATTTACAAAACTGACAGTAACAATGACACAATTCTGGATTTAATTGAAAGTGTTTGTTGTTTCTACATGTTCAGCCACAAATTTTGTCCATTAAATCTGAAATCTGTTAAATAAAGGTCTGTTAGATTGAGGCTTCACAATACAGTGGAACCTCAGCTTACGAGTACCCCACCATACAAGTTATTTTCAGGATACGAGCAGTCACTCGGTCGATTTCTTGTTTCTGGATTCGAGCAGAAATTCAAGATGCGAGCTTCCCCATCAAATTACTTTTTTTTAGACTTCCAGATCTTACAAAAATGAAAGTGAATATATAATTGTAGTTCATTGTCAAGCTGTATTATGTTGTTTTTGCTGCTTAAGACTATAATTACAACAGAAATAATGTTATTTCTTACCTTAAATTGTGGGTGCTGGTGTTTGTGGATGATTGTGAAGAGAGTGGAGAGTTATGTTGTGGTCCTACTGGGCTGAGGTGGATGGTAGAGGGTCTGGTACTTAAGTCGATGGTTGTACTAGAGTGTGCATAAATTCTGTAATGGATTTCTTTTCTATTTTACCCTGCAGTACAATTTATAACTGACAGTAAGGCATCAGCTGCTCTAGACACCATTTCAGGGTTCTGTTCAGTGAAAAAAGTCTGTCATTCAGTAAGTCAGTCAAGTCAGTCAGTCAAGTCAGTCATTCAGTCAAGTCAGCAACACTGGTATGCCTATTGGGTGTCATGATTGCTTGCCAGATATAAGATATGGTAATTAAAAGATCAAAACACAATTCACAAACACAGCTAGCTTGTAGGAGAGAAGTATAACTGAACACGTTTTCACGAAGCTGGGATGGTGGTGTCGGGAGTGTGGGAGTGTTGAAGTATTTTTGTCTTGCCTCCCAGAGCAAGAATTCCACTGGAATGGATTAATGGCATTTCTCTTCATTTAAATGAGGAAAATTGACTCAGCATATGAGCAGATTGGGATACGAGCAAGGTCACGGAATGGATTAAACTCGTAAGCCAAGGTTCCACTGTACAGTGGACCCCCGCATGACGATCACCTCCGAATGCGACCAATTATGTAAGTGTATTTATGTAAGTGCGTTTGTACGTGTATGTTTGGGGGTCTGAAATGGACTAATCTACTTCACAATATTCCTTATGGGAACAAATTCGGTCAGTACTGGCACCTGAACATACTTCTGGAGAGAAAAAATATCGTTAACCGGGGGTCCACTGTATTTACTTATCCCAGTAAAAGGTGTTCTCAAGTTATGACACAAAAGACAAAATTGAGAATGGTCTATATAAGTTTGACCAGAGGGCTACTGTAGTTGCATGAACTTTTCCCTGATCACAATATATCAGTATTCAAATTTTGAAGCTGAATGAATGAATCATTTTTAGGTTATACTATATGAAAATCTTGAAGAAAGAAAAAATAAATTGTCATATACTTGAAAGTACCCCTTCAGGGATAGCTAAATTAAGTTTCTCAGTATTAACCATTACCCCTCTGTTAAATGTTACCCTGAATTAAATGTGACCTTGCATTAAAAGTGGCCCTGCATTAAATGTTAACCTGTATTAAACATTGATTATTTTCAACATTACCTTGAAACCCAGGTGGGATCAGAAATCCTCAAAAGCAATTTCGGGCAACAATAAGGGCCAGACAATTTAGAATGATTAAGCATAGTAGCAGTTATTGTTGTACTTCATGTGAATCTTAAGTGTGCAAGGATAACATTCTTGAATAGTACACTGCAGTTGAAAGCAATTTTCATTGTAATGTTTATAACAAATTCTATGATATTTCTCAAGCTTGTTATTCAGTACAGTACATAATTATTTTATGTACGTAGTCAAATTAATGATCTCTTTGTTTTCAACAGAGTCATGGGTGGATCTGTCCAACCAGCCGGGTAGTCCTGACCGGGTGACACCATTGCCCTTTGGGAATGGTGAGGAGTACTTGCGACTGTTGCGAGAGGCCCAGAGAGAGAGCAACCAGTCTTCAGAGCGAGTGTCATTAGCTTCCTCTCGTAGGGACACACCTAGGGACTCTCCACATGATTCGTGAGTTTCCTTCCATAATTTTCCTACCCATCAACAAATTCTGTTATTTTCTACCATGTACAGTACATTTAATTTTGAGTTTTTAGTTGAGTATTTTTATTATCCAGTGCTTTTGTCTGTGTTCTTTGTCAAAGATTTTGACATTATTCATCTCGCCACTACATCTGTTTGTTGCATTGGTCGTTAGTGCCACTTTGTCATTTTGGCACAATTTGTAGTCACTTTTTGTCAACACCTGTTTTCTCTTTTGTTACTAGTTGGAGTAAGCCTACATAGCCAATCCTGTAACTGTACCTGTGATTTCCAGCCTACCTAACACTTGGCTTCTCTTACTAAGTGGTGCATAGTGTACATTGGTTTACCTTGGCAATAATGAGTGCTCTTCAAACATGCATGTACACATATATGTTGTAGTTATATATGTATATAGTATATATTTGCTTAAAACTGTTCTGTAATGGAGTTCAAGTAATTGACAAGGTGAATTGATGTTTGCATGAAAGTTTTGAAACAGTGTGTGTCATAATGAGTATGATAGTGTAGTGACATGGCTTTATTGTACATGCTTTAAAAGAATATTCAACCATTAGAATAATTTTATTGAAATTTGACACATAAGTATCTCAACTGGACAGTGTGATAAAAAAGAGACTGCAGCAGAATGGAAACTTTTGTTGAGTATTGTTGAGAAAGTGCTGGTTTCTAGTGATTTGTTAGAGTAATGAAATAGCAGGCAAAAGAACATGAGCCACTCATTTGTACAATAATGGTGGGACTTGAGCCAGATTTCCTGATTTATTTTTAAGTGACTTAATAATCTTGGTTAACTCTGTGGGCTTGGTTGGTGCAAGATAGGAGGAGGTTTGGAATTTCCCATCTAAGTAATCACTTGCTCTGGCATTGGTACCTGGGATTTTGCTTGTGAGATTTGATCCTCTGGTTGAGAAAGTCATTTACCTTGTTAACTGTATCAGTAGGCTGTAGTTTCGTTTGGTTTAGGTAGGACAATATCCCTCGTTTTTTCAGTTTGTAGGGGCCCAGAATCCGAGAGCATCTCTTCCGGGTCTTTTTTATATCTCCTCTTGTTTTGGTGAATTTAATGGAGTAGTAAGTTGCTTTGCCTTTCTTATTAGTTTGGTGAGGATTGATGTGTAGTGTTTAATAATATCTTTGTTTATAAAGTCCTGTCTGTATTGCTTTTCATATTGATGCTTCTTATCACTGGATTTTAATATGGTGTTAGTTAACCATGGGCACCTTAGCCGTTTATTCGTAATCCGTTTCGTTTTTATGGGGCAATGTTTGTTATATAGTCTAAGTAATTTGTTAAGAAATATGTCTATCTAATCATCGATACCATTGGCATTGGAGAATTCTGTAGGCCAGTCAGCCGTATCTAGCTCTGTTGTGAAGTTACTTATTGATGGGTATGATTTTCTTTTGCCAAGAAGTTTCATTGTGATACCTGGAGAGGGTTTTAGGGGTCAGTGCCCCCACAGCTCGGTCTGAGACCAGGCCTGGTTAGGGTCTGATCAGGGTCTGATCAACCAGGCTGTTACTGCTGGCTGCACGCAAGCTGACGTACGAACCACAGCCCGGTTGGTCAGGTACTGACTTTAGGTGCCTGTCCAGTGCCTTTTTAAAGACAGCCAGGGGTCGATTGGTAATCCCCTTTATGTATGGTGGGAGGCAGTTGAACAGTCTTGGGCCCCAGACACTTATTGTGTCAGATGTGTTGTCTCTCAATGTACTCGTGGCGCCCCTGCTTTTCATCAGGGGAATGTTGCATTTCCTGCCGAGTCTTTTGCTTTCATAGGGAGTGATTTTCGTGTGCAGGTTTGGCATCAGTCCTTCCAGGACCTTCCAAGTGTATATTATCATGCATCTCTCAAGCCTGCGTTCCAGGGAATACAGATCGAGGACCTTCAACCATTCTCAGTAATTTAGGTGCCTTATGGTACTTATGTGTGCTGTGAATGATTCATAATGNAGTAAATGATACTGACATCATACATCAGTACATAATACTGCCATCAACAGTGTTGATGGCAGAACATGAAAAAGTGATACAATGATTGGAAATTAGCCATGAACACTATTTCTTACACAGTTTAAGTACATATAGGTTAAGGGAGAATGTCCTTTGAGTAGAAATATTGTGAAAGGGTTGATTTTGTTTGTCTTCCTTGTAGAATAAGCAGTCCAAATTTTGGCTTGCTGCATAATTGTGGTATGTGGTGAAGTAAGAACTATTTGAATTTAGATACAGTTGTCATTGCAAATTCCCAGGGAGGGGGAAGTTATATCCCTAGAGGTGTTAAGAATTTAAAAATTGCAAATAATACAAATTTGTCTGCATAACAGATTTGGGTTATTTTTATATTTCAGAGATGTCTCTCATACAGACTAGTACAAGTATATCTTTTAAGTCTGGCTGATATTGATATTCATCAAACAAGAATGATGAAAAAAAATTTGGGAGTGAGAGATACTGAGCTAGTAAACCATTGGATAATTGAATCTAGTCATTAGTTGTCCATTAATAAAAGATTTCAATAATCTCAACCCTTTTTTGAAACACTCCAGCCACCTCTCATAAGGTAGGGTGACCCAAAAGAGAAAACACATTCACTGTTATTTATTCAAAATTTGTCTTGCCAGAAGCATACTGGCATCACAGTTCAGATGCCTTTCTGAACTGCTGTACTCTTTCACCTTTAGAATGCAGAGAGACTGCTACCTAAACAGCACATCAAACCAAATAAATCTCGTACAGATAACAGTAATAAGAGAGAACTTATAGAGAAAGCTGATTGCATTCTTAGGAATATTATGAAAAGGAAAAATATTTCTCCTGGATGTGATTAAAGCACTGAAATCCAATGTATAGGTTCCATCAAGTTAGAGAATACATGTAATTTTTATGATATACAGTTATTTTTAAATGTCTTTCGTCTGTGTAGATGCAGCTTCTTTCAACAAACCAGCTGTATCCCACCGAGGTAGGGTGGCCCAAAAAGAAAAAAGTTTCCCTTTTTAACTTTAGTAATGTATACAAGAGAAGGGGTTACTAGCCCCTTGCTCCCAGCATTTTAACTGCCTCTTATGACATGTATGACATATGGAGGAAGAATTCTGTTCCACTTCCCCATGGAGATAATAGGAAATAAACAGGAAGAAGAATTAGCAAGAAAATAGAAGAAAACCCAGAGGGGTGTGTATACATATGCTTGTACATGCATGTGTAGTGTGACCTAAGTGTCAAGTAGAAGTAGCAAGAAGTACCTGAAATCTTGCATGTTTATGAGACAGAAAAAAGACACCAGCAATCCTACCATCATGTAAAGCAATTACAGGCTTCTGTTTTACACTCACTTGGCAGGACGGTAGTACCTCCCTGGGCGGTTGCTGTCTACCAACCTACTACCTAGATGTAGATGCATGTAATAGCTAAATTGTTATCAGTTGGTAACTTTCTTCTTTCTTTCAATGCACCAGCCATATCCCACTGAGGTGGGGTGGCCCAAAAGGCAAAACAAAAGTTTTGCCTTTTAAATTTAGTAATACAGTGGACCCCCGCATAACGATCAGCTCCCAACTCGACCAATTATGTAAGTGTATTTTTGTAAGTGCTTTTGTAGGTGTATTTTTGGGGGTCTGAAACGGACTAATCTAATTCACAATATCTCTTATGGGAACAAATTCGGTCTATAACGGCACCCAAACAGACTTCTGGATTGAAATATTGTTATCCGGGGGTCCACTGTATATACAGGAGAAGGGGTTACTAGCCCCTTGCTCCCGGCATTTTAGTTGCTTCTTATGACACGCGTGGCTTACGGAGGAAGAATTCTGTTCCACTTCCCCATGGAAATAAGAGGAAATAGACAAGAACAAGAACTAGAAAGAAAGTAGAAGAAAACCCAGAGGGGTATGTATATATAAGCTTGTACATGTATGTGCAGTGTGACCTAAGTGTAAGTAGAAGTAGCAAGACGTACCTGAAATCTTGCATGTTTATGAAACAGAAAAAAGGACACCAGCAGTCCTACCATCACGTAAAACAGTTACAGGCTTTCGTTTTACACTCGCTTGGCAGGACGGTAGTACCTCCCTGGGCGGTTGCTGTCTACCAACCTACTACCTAGATGTAGATGTATGTAATAGCTAAATTGTTATCAGTTGGTAACATAGGATGTTATATTTTTTCTATACACTGTATTGATAAAATCCTTAAAGAATACGTTATCCTTGTTTTTATTTAGATGTTTATTTCATTTTTTCAGGCCAAAGTCCCCACCAAACAGCCCTAACACTGAGATGGCCACCGACCCAGAGGAGACTGTGCTGAAAGGCGTATACATTAATTACTATAATAAGGTATGTAATCACAATACTCAGTTGGTAAGTGATATAATCATTCTTACAGATTTACAGGGGACTTACTTTCCTAGAGGTCCTGCAAATTTTTCTTATCCTGTATTTTATAAAAGAAAATGGGCAGTGAGGGAGAGGTTATGCTCACTTTTAAGTTTTGCAACGTGGTTTTTGGGCATAAACTCGTTTATCCAAATTATGCTGGACAAAATTAAAAGTGGCTAGACAGCACTAAGTGTTTATTGCACATGAATGTGGAGACACTGGTCTGTATTCTTTCAAAATGTAAGAGAAATGCTTTATATATTACACTGTGTGATTTTTATACCATTATGTAACATGCAGTAGTAAGCAAATGTGTGCTGAAACTCATTGCTCATTGGTTGACTTAAGTTAAATAATGCCAATCTTTATATATAAAATCTTTATTAGTTTGTAGTTTTTCTAGTTGTTTATTATTTTATTTTTAACTTTATTTCTGTACAGGTACTCTGATGCTGTAAACACATTTGTGTGTGACTCAATTTTTTTTAATTATTGTACATTTTAGAATGTGCATTTACATATGATTCTAGCATATGAGGATATTAAGACTCCCAAAGCACCTGTACTTTATTTGTCCACTCTTGCTTTACTACATTATTATTATTATAGATATGAGAGTTAGTACATTATGATTCATGAGTCGGCAGTTCTTGTAGATATTGCTCTTGTTTCTGTATGCTGCAATTCTACTTGTATTTTTAACTTTACTGAATAAAAGCATCTGGCGGTTTAAAATAATTCCATAAAGTCCTGAAATATTCACTCGGCCAAAATTTCTGCTTTTTCTTCGTGCACACTGTACACTGAACAGCACACAGTAGTTATAGAAAGGTTTTAACCTTTATGGGTCTCTCCACATTTTTAATAATATTTACCAAACTTCTACTTGATTTGTCTTGTTTATTTTTTTCACAGGAAGGAGACTTTATTCGGGTTGAGAAGAACACAGAGACGGATTGGATCTGGGACTGGAGTAGTCGGCCTGACCAGACTCCACCAAAGTTAGTATTTTAGTTAAATATTATAATGATCACGGGCATGAATGTGCAGTCCTGTTTAAAATGTGTTTATTTTGTTAAATATTTTGCATAAATGCAAATATTAAAAATTAAAGAAATAGTATACTATAAACTTGATCTTAACTTTAATGATTAAAAAAAATGATTGATGAAGCCAGAGTATGTATTCAATTTTAAATACAGAATAGTAAACCAACACGAATCAGAGGTGGATTTAGAGATGATTATACAAGTTAGAAACCTTACACCATCTGAAGGAAACCTTACACCATCTGAAGGTTTCCTGTCCTAGACCATGCTAGGGCCACCTTGCTCACACCACACCCAAGATACTATCATGCAGCTTACTGGATCACCACCCTACTACTAGATAATATAGACCATGGCATAAAGAAATGAGTCACTTACAAAACTACTAGGGCTGTCCAGAATTATTAAGGCATTCCTGACTTAGTGAAAACATTTGTGATTAATCAGGGTGTTTGCTGAGTTGGGCTCAACTTGTGCATTTTGCACCTGACTCTGAAACTTTCCTTTCACACCATTTCTTTTGTTAATTGCTCAGTATTACACTTCTTTCTGTTTTTCTTACTGTATATTAAATTAACACTTCAAAAATAATAACTCACAGTAAGATGATGTTATACCTATCGTAGGGATCCCACTCTTGACCCCCCCCCCTTTTTTTTTTTGGCCCTTGTGGTGTTAAAAATGAAATAAACACATTGTTATTAAACTTGTAAACATTCTAACATTGTGGCCAATCTTTTATCAATATAATGCATACACACTTAAAAACTTACATGTACAGTTTAAATTTAAAGCCCACTCAGAAAAGCTTGTCAGTATAGGGGGATCCTTTATAACCCAAAGGCTTCTTGTCCCACATTTGTATTTACCTACTTTTAGAACATATATTTATTATTATATCTTCTTGTTCATGCATTTTTATCTCTTGTATAGGGAATGGCGGTTTAGTCATCCTCGTAAAGGTGTGAGCCGTGGTGCCAGTATCCGCCGTGTTATGGTGGGCAACTCTTCACTCTTCTCTCGTGATGTCCTTTACACACTCCTTATCACCAATGTTTTATCTTCTTCTTGGTACTGGCATTGGGTAAGTCAACACATGCAGTGTGGATAAAATTATACCCCTATATAAGATTTAATCTCTAATATTTTTGTCATTATTTACAAGGTAATCTTTTGCAACGTAGTTGATATTAACTCTTCTTGCCTTCATGAACTGTGGTAGATTTCTGTTATATACTGTTTCATAGGGTAAGTTAGGATTGGTAAGGTTTGTCAGGAAACAGGGCAAGTGTTTCCTGACGCGGGGTCTTAGACAGTGATCCGCCATTGGAGCTTTTGGTCATCTGACTGAGGCCTTCCGCTGGCTTACCGGTCCAGCTTTTTAAAAATTATGGTCATAGTTATAACCATTTAGGATTTTAACAGTACTGTTTTATAGTTGAGCTCTTGCAAGAAACTCAAAATGAAAGTTAGGCATACTGTATATTGTGCAGAAATTCTCCTCTCACATATTTACTGAAGCAACATTTGTACAATGCCCTAAGACATTTATTTCCAAATCTTAAATTGGCATATTTTAATATTTGAAATTGGTCAAATTACCAATATCTGATCACACTATTGGGTAGTTGAAATAGTTAATTGGGGAGTTTCTTGTGCTCACTTGATAACATGGAAGACTTGTTAGCAAAATACAGTGGAGCCTTGGTACTCAGATAGCTCCGTACTTGAACAGTTCGGTATTCAGACGCTTTGTTCAGTAAAAAATCGGTCGGTAGTCGACCGTTTGCTTAGCACTCAACCAAACAAACACGACCTGCCAGAACTTCACTGTAAACTATTACGTGTTTATTCGCATTTTTTGGTGTGTTTTATATTTGTATAAATAAGTCACCATGGGGCCTGAGAAGAGTAGTGATAACAGCCAACCAAAAAGAAAATTGGTTGGGAAAAATTCATTCGGTACTCTAACAGATCAGCACTCAAACAGCCTTTTGGAACAAATTAAGTTTGAGTATCGAGGTTCCAGTGTAGCTACAAATTTGGTCGACTGGAACAATGTAATTGGCCTAAAATAGGACTCAAAGTGGGCAAAATCACCAGTGCATAAATATCACTGACAGCAAAATTTGTGAAAGTGTAATTTTGTCAGCTTTCCATCAAATTTTGTACTTTTTGTTTTGTTACCCTCAGAAAAATATTCTCTAGTATTTTATAAGAAAAAATAGCAAAAAAATTTTTTGGGAATTTCTTGGACACTGGACAATTTTCAGATCAAGGGTCTGGACAGTGAAAGGATTAAGAGTAGAGAAGAAAGTGCAACTTATTTGCATTGAGAAAAGTATGTTGAACATTAAATGCTTTCTTAGTAGTCCCTCCATATCCATAAGATGTGTTCCCCAAAATCTTGCAGATGTTGCACTGTATTTGCAGTCCAGGGCTCTATGGCTACCATAATTGATACATAGAATTATTAGAGATGTTTGGGATATTTTGTGCAAGTTACTCACTTCCCGTGTCATGTAACAGACATAAAACATAGACTACAATAGATACGTGAAGTGATATAGTAGAGCAAGAGTCATGAATCTGTGAGCAAAGTTCACACATAACATCGTATATGAGTTGTGGATCTATGTAACCAGCTCACAGATAACTATATAATTATTTTATTAACACATAGGCCATTTCCCACTAAGGCAGGATGACCCGAGAGAGAAGACACATTTTCACCACCATTCACTCCATCACTGGGTTGCCAGAGGCATGCCTGTACTACAGTTAAAAAAAAAAAAAAAACTACATGTCAACACCCCTCCTTCAGAGTGCAGGCACTGTACTTTCCACCTCCAGGACTCATGTCTGGCTAACTGGTTTCCCTGAATTCCTTCATAAATATTACCATGCTCACACACTAACAGCACATCATCAAATCATAAAAACCATTCATCTTCACCTGCTCCCATGTAACATGCTCACACACGCTTGCTGGAAATCCAAGCCCTTATCACACAAAACCTCCTTCCAACCCTTCCAAGGATGACCCCTACCCCCACCTTCCTTCCACTATAATTTATACGTTTTCTAGGTTATTCTATTTCTTTCCAGCCCCTCTAACTGTCCAAACCACCTCTATAATACAGTGTACATAGTATTTAAGTTGTGGTTCCATAGCCAAGGCCACAGATTTTTTTTTTTAACGCACTAACTTTTCCTAGGTAGGGTGACCTAAATTGGAAAACGATAGTTTCTCATTTTTACATTTAGTAATTTATACAGGAGAAGGGGTTACCAGCTCCTTGCTACTGACATTTTAGTCACTTCTTATGACACACTTCACTTATCCCATGGAGTAAGCCCACAGAGAACAGCATATTATTATTTACATATTGCAGATATGTGAATTCAGCTCTTGTAGAGTGGGCAATAGAACAACTAAGTTTTGCCTGAAAACCTGTGCATTTCTGATTATTGAGTATTTTGTAAATGCAGTGATTGGAAATATTCTAAATCTAAAATCTATAGCTCACAGATCAGTAAATTTTTGTACACAGAATCCATTTATGTTCAATGAGTATTGTATGTATAGCATAAATATATATGTGGTGTAGCAGGAAGGAATTGTGGGTCTTTTGCAAAATGCTTTTAGTATTATGTAAGTATGTTAATCAATGGTCTACTATATTTAATTCTTCTTTCAACCAACTGGCCGTATCCCACCAAAGCAGGGTGGCCTAACTTTAGTGATGTATACAGGAGAAGGTGTTGCTAGCCCCTTGATCCGGCTTGTTAGTTGCCTCTTACAATGTGCATGGCTTACGGAGGAAGAATTCTATTCCACTTCCCATTTCCAGGACTCGAGTCCGGGTGTGTATACGTACATGTATATGATTGTACATGCATGTGTAGTGTGACCTAAGTGAAAAAATAGTTAAACCGGGTCCGAATGTACTAGGCTTTCGTTTTTAAACATACCTTGGAGGCATGGTATGTACCATCCCAGGATTATTTCACCAATCATACTAGAGACTATATTAACTTCCTGATACAGTGTGGTTGAAAGTTTATGATATTGATGTATTTTTTAACTAACGGCATTATCCTTTCCAAGGTTTTGTTGGGTCAAACCTGCAATCGGAAAGTTGTCCTTAACTTAGTTGAAAAAAAAAAAAAATGTTATACTCCTTAGTACTTGATTTTAGTATTGCTATTCTAAATAATAAGGCTACGAGGAAGAATACTGACCTTCGCATTAGATAAGGTGAAATACAAGAATAACAGTTAAAATAAAAAAACAGAGGTTGTTTATAAATGCTTGTACATCAGTTACAAGCTTTTCTATGCTTCACAAGGTTAATTAAAATCTAACATCATTTAGTATTGAGACAAAAAGACCCACATCTCAATGGATTAAAACAAATACGTGGACCTGTTAATTTTCCCAATGTCAACTTGTTTGTTATATAAGTACTGAACATGATTGTTTGGGGATTTAAATGATATCTAACTGACAATAGTTCTATAGGAACAAATTGGCAGTACTGGCACCTGAACATACTTCTGGAATGAAAAAATATCGTTAACCGGGGGTCCACTGTACAGGCTTTCGTTTTTTACACTCACTTGGCAGGATGGTAGTACCTCCCTGGGCAGTTGCTGTCTACCAACCTACTACCTAGAACTATATTTATTTACATATACATGTGTGGTGAAAGTGTTGAATGATGAAAGTATTTTCTTTTTGGGGATTTTCTTTCTTTTTTTTGGGTCACCCTGCCTCGGTGGGAGACGGCCGACTTGTTGAAAAAAAAAAAAAAAAATGTATATCTCTTAGATACTTTAGATACAGTATTGTATTCTAATAATAAATAATCTGCTACAACAGAATATTGAAGCTTCAGGATTTATTAAGTGATATAAAGCATAACAGTTAAAATAAAAAAATTGAGACACTTTTGTAAATGCTGTACATCAGTTACAACAGCTTTTCTCTGCTTTCACAAGGTTATTATTAAAATCTACCTCCAATTTTAGTATGAATGCACATTGTCTATTGAAGTGGATGGTCAGTAGTACTGTTATTTTCACAATTTAAGCTGCTGTTTGTTATATAGCTACAAATGCTCAGTGATAATGCACTTTTAACTTGAATATTCTTCAACAGGATCTGGTTGTCGAAACGATCAGGTGGTGAAGTTGTGATGACTTTACCCATCAACTGATTACTGGTGGTATCCACCAGTGACTCGTCTTATAGAACACTATGTGGGAACCAATGAAAATTGTTTAGTTTACATCCATTATATAATACTTACATCTGTTTTGAAAGGCTTTCAGTGCTATTTGATATTTCCATATATGGGTTCATTATTTTTTGTTTACATTTACCTGTTGATTTGTCAAGGCTTTAAGTTTTTTTTTAAGTTTTGCAAGACTGTATTCTCAGTCTTTTATTAAAGTGACTTTCAACAATGTTAGTTGGCCCAGAACACCCCAACTTCATTAAACGAGTACACTTGTAGATTAGAAATTTTGTCAGTGATAGGTAAATGCTTAGAGTTCACATTATGAAGATTGCTCTAATAATACTGTATTCAGTCAGAGCCTATGATGATGTAATTAGTATTTCCTCTCACAAGACAACACTGAACCTGTTAAGAGAGTTTTGGAAACTGATATAATAGTTTCCAGTGAATTCCAATGTTGAATTTGTTTCCAGAAATAATAAAAGGAATAGTTTTATTAGGCTGAATGTTATTTAACTTTTATAAGGAATTTTTCCTTACTGATACTTTAGTCTGTCTTTTAGTTTTAACTTTCCCCAGCTATCTAAGACAATTTATATGCCTATGGCTTTTATTACACATAATTTTGCTGTCTTCTCTTGTGAGATCAGTGTATGCAGTGTGTGTGTGTGTGTGTGTGTGTGTGTGTGTATATGTGTGTGTGTGTGTGTGTGGAAACAACACTCTAGCAAGAACTGTACAAAATAGCTTGGGGAGGTTGGACGGTTATCTAGTCACATGATGGCAGTAAGTTTGCAAAGCTGCTGCAGTGGCTACACACTTGAACATAGCTTTTCCAAAGGCTTGTATTCACTAGACACTCAGGTCAAGCCACTTGTATAATTATTGTCATTTAGTGCATTAAGGTGCACAGCTACTACTTATCATACTTTAAAATTCAAGATGTTCTTGTTTTTTCTTCATTTTTAAAATAAAGGTATATTTTTCAAAGAATTCTTGAATATGTTTAACAACTTAAGTCACCTCATAAGCTTATTTGAAGGATGACTAGTCATATTTGCATTTCAAGTGCACAATATGACAGAGTGTCTCCAGGATACATTCCTTAAGTCTTTCAAAGTCTCATGTTTGAAACACTAGGTCATTACTCCATTTAATTGTTATATCCTCATTATTCAGGATTAGTGAGGTTTTAGATATTGATTGAATTTTTATATTGGTTACCTTGGTACATCTGAGGTTAGGTGTGAGGTTAGAGCTTGATATCACACCAGTAATTTGATTATTTTATATGAAGACTAGACAAACACTCAGTATGTTCCAGATATATTAACCATAGAGCTCTATAAAAATTCTATAGATGTAACCCTGTAAATGATATGGATGTTTGATTAAAGCCATTTCTAGATATGTTAACAAGTAGAGAATTAATACTTAATACTGTCTAATATCAATGCTAGGAAAGATTTTAAACTGTGTAAAGTGGATAATGGCTGATTTATGTATTTTAATTATAAATACTAGTGTGTTAAATATGAATTGTTGACCTATTTATGTGTTTGAGAAAGATTAGCATGTGAAACCTGGAGCACTGGTACCATGTGACATCCGTCTGTTGGCCACAGGAGCATCTTCAGTAGAAGTTCTCTGTGACAATACTTTTTGTTACGCTATTTTATAAGGTAATGGGAAGCGATAATAGCTTTCTTGTTAATTCTCATAACTATATACACAGAAAAGTCAAGAGCATTTAGGTGGTTTCCAGTGGTCATTTACTGTGTGTGAGGACCATCTAATGGTAGTGAGAACTTATCCACTTTGGGTCTGTCATAATTTCCAGTAGGGTGAAAGTTACTTTATGGATATAAATTTTTCTTAATTTATTATTACTAACACTATTTGGTCACTTATTTATTTATTCAGACATTCTCTGATGGGATGTGATGACTATTAGCTCTTCTTGTCATTCAGTTTTTTCAAAAATGTTTTATTAAAATTCTCTGCAATACAAGCATTCAGTAAAAATTTAAAAAAAAAAAAAAAAAAAAAAAAAAAAATCCATACATATACACGGCATGTTTCCTATGCGATTGTACTATCTTCTTGTCTGTACAAGTGAGTGTAACACATTTCTTGGGACTGTCTTCTACACTGCAGAGTCCAATGGCAACTTTTCCTACTGAACTGTCTTGAATTTTTCTACTGTCTCAATTTTGCATTTTAAGTAAAATATAGTGAATTATATTTACAGGACATTTAGAAGGTAAGCCCTAAGGATAATTCGTAAGCAGAGTTGGACAAGACAATATCCAGCTTTATAGTTTTGTAATGCTGTCAGGAAAAGGCTAAATATACAAAAAGAAATGTGAGTATGGTATTAATCACCTTGAAAAATAATAAATTGCATTTAAATATCACCACAAGTTAAATTCATTGGTATGTGACCTTGTTAAAATGGGAACTTTTCTCTAAGTGGGTGGCTACTACTGTCATCCATCATCCCCACCACATGTATAAACTATATTATGGAATTATGCTCTCACGAAGTTAGCGATCTCGACGATATTTATGCATCAGCGATTTCGCCCATTTGGTGCCCTATTTTCAGTCAATTCCAATGTTCCTGTCAAGTAAAATCATAGCTATTTTGCTAGAACTCCATTTGTTCTATCGAATGAGTACAAGAAACCGCCCATTTACCGATTTCAACTACCCAGTGAAGTGGCGAAAAATTGGCAATTTGGTCAATTTCACACAAATTTCAAAAGATGCCAATTTCAAAATAGGGTCCAGAATAAACAAGGCAGACATTCCTGGCACTAAAATAATATTTTTTCTGTTCATTAGTCACATCTCCAGACCCCTCTTATATTACTCTTGCTTTCCATTTTGAATTTTTATTCTCACAAATAATAGAAGATTTACTGTTATGCTGACTACTGCATTATTGTAAAAATGGTATAAATAATATCAGCGCACTTGTGAAAGAATAGACTCACCAGTTGATGTGTATTAGATGTGTGGGGTGATTTGTTTTCTCTTGAACATTGGCAAAAATCGAACATTTCCGCTACTTTAAGCTCAATTTCAAGGTACTTTTCACCATAAAACCAATCAAAATCATCTCTATTTCTGTAATAGAGATGAAACCAAGAAAACGAGAGTACAACCATAAATACCATACAAAAATACACTGCAAGGTTGCCGTTTTAAACCAAAAACATGGTCAGAGTTTTTTTTCTCACATGCACTGCATACTGCATTTTTTTTTATACTGCGCACAGTGACCACGCAGACCTGTTCTTTCATAAGTAGGTCTACCAGCTTCCTTCCGCTTCATTTGAAGGCACTAGAATTTATGCATGAAAGTACGGCACCGACCCTGGCTGTCAAGCCGTACAAGTATGGCACCAACCCTGAAAGGATTAACTGAAACAATACCATTACTAAGGCACTAAATAATAAGGAACCCTTTAACCCTTTATCGGGGTGGGCCGGGAAAATTCGGTATTAATTACGTGTTTTGGGGGCGTGTCATACTCAGTGCCCCGCGCGGCCAGCTTCCCGTTCTTTAGTTCCAACCAATCACCAAGCCTTCCCTGAGTCTCTTCAGCTAAGTACAGTTCGCTTCTGCCGCCTTCCCATTGGTTGAGAGATCAAAATATAAACACTGGTGGCTTGGCTCCGCCCACACACCCATTTTTCCCTCCACCCTTACTAATCTACTCTTGGATTATACATTCTACAATGTCGGTAAGTACTGATTGTTGTGTTTAGTGCTTACATGAATAGTTTAGGCATATTTTGATATATACCTAAAGTCCGTGTGAAGCACAATATGAGTGTAGCATGCAGTTGAAAAAAGTGCAAACATTTTATACCGAATTATTTCAGTCTTGCACGAGTTTCCGGGAATGTCCAATTTTAGTCAAATAAATATTTATAAAAAAATTTCAATTGCATATATGAACTCTGTAGTGGTCTGGATCTATACAGGAGGTTTCTATTGTCCTTCCAGATCAATGAGAAGTTGTTTTATGGGGAGCAGTCCACCAGCAGGTCGAGGTATGTCTGCGTTTCTGAAGAGAGTGACTCAGAAGCAGAGGTAGATGAACCAGAATTGCTGGATAGTGGTGATGAATACTTGCCACCGGATGCACAGGTGTCAAGTGATGATGAGGAGGAAGAAAGGCCAGCCAAAAAACAGAAATTAGTGAAGAAAAAGTAAGGTATTACGATTGCAACTATTGCAGCCACTCGAAGAAATTGGTCACATCCTCATTCCAGTGTTCTGTATGCAAAGTAAATCTGGATAAAGAGTGATAGAAATTGCTTCAGCGACTACCATACCATCAATTAGCAATATAGAATAATTGGTCATCCAAATGAATCTCAGGAATATAGGGATTGAAAGTTGCATCCCTTTGCAATTTGTCATTGTTGAGATTTGCTTCCTTTTTATATTTTTGTAACAATTAAAAAATGTTTTGATTCAAGTTCCATTTATGTTTTTTATATTGTCTGTTTGTATATTAAATTTAAAAAATTGTTTTGGCGTGTTTTATTAACAATTGCAAGTTTTGCAACATAAAATTTTTTAATCACTTTGTCGGGCGCAGACGGATATTTTCGGTCTCCGGAGATTAGCAATTGCTCGAAAACTAACCATCAGAAATCAATTTATATGGGATCATTGAACTTGTATTGAGTTACTCTATCCACCATAGAGAGTTCAGTTCGAATTTCAAATTTTTGGACCCCTTGCGCGATGAAGGGTTAAGTTAACCAGTAGGTACATAAAGTATTTATTAGAGTATTTTAAATTTCTGGCTTTTTGTTTCAGCATACAGCAGTGTCAGTTTCATTAGTTGATAACTGGTATGAGTCAGAAACCACTTGTCATGTTTCTTTGACAGCATCTTCAACCTTTTCAATAGGCAGTGATTCATATCCTTTAATTTCCTGTTCACGTGTGACTAAAACCTTTGGCATCTCCCAAAATGAATTGATACTTATAATACTTCATGCTTAGCTACTATGACCATTTTATCTACTTTACACAATGTTTGAAATTTTGTTAGCCCAGGCAGGGAGTGGGGGAAGGGAAGGGTAGACCCTTCTTACCCCTCAATATACACTTAACACCCCTTAACTGTCCAAACATAGAGCTACATTCTCTTGCCCAGCACTCCGAATATTTAAAAAAAAAAAAATTAAAGAGGACATTTTTTTTCATAAAGTACAGTGGAACCCCAATTTTCGTTTTTAATCCATTCCAGAAGGTCGGCTGAAAACCAGTTTGTATGAAAACTGAAGTAATATTTCCCATAAGTAATGTAAATCCAATTAATCCATTCCAGACACCCAAAAATATTAACAAAAAATACATTTATAGAGAATAACTATAGTTGTACGTACAGAAAACAATGAGAAATAAATATAAATGACTAATGAAATGTATAAATGAACATTTAACGTCACTTTTACCTTTATTGAAGACTCTTGTTGGGCATATGGAAGACGGCGAGGAGGGGAGAGGTTGTTTGAAAGGGGTATCCCCCTCCATAAAGACTTCAGGTATCAAAGCCCTATTTGGGGTTACTTCCCTTGTTTGTCTTTTACTGGCACTAGGACCAGCTCGAGTCACTGGACCCCTGTCGCACAAAATATCTGTGAAGAGAGGTATGTTTCTGGCATCTCTCTAAGATTTGCCTAAAATGGGACACGGCATTGCCATTGTACACGTTGCAGACACGGCTTTCAACAGCTTTGTTAGGGTGATATTTCTCCACAAAACTTTGCACTTCACTCCACTTTGCACAAATGTCCTTAATCACTGAAGAAGGCACATTCTCCCCTCTCTCTTCCTCCTCCTCTGGAGCAGTTTCCTCAGCTAAGGTCTGTTGCTGTCAGCACTTATTGCACACCTGACAGCAACATGAAGCACTGCTGCTTGCAGAAGTGTTGCTGGTATACCCTTTTTTCTCATTTTTTTTTGTATCATTTTTTATTTTTTTTTTTATCATCACACTGGCCGATTCCCACCAAGGCAGGGTGGCCCGAAAAAGAAAAACTTTCACCATCATTCACTCCATCACTGTTTTGCCAGAAGGGTGCTTTACACTACAGTTTTTAAACTGCAACATTAACACCCCTCCTTCAGAGTGCAGGCACTGTACTTCCCATCTCCAGGACTCAAGTCCGGCCTGCCGGTTTCCCTGAACCCCTTCATAAATGTTACTTTGCTCACACTCCAACAGCACGTCAAGTATTAAAAACCATTCATCTCCATTCACTCCTATCAAACACGCTCACGCACGCCTGCTGGAAGTCCAAGCCCCTCGCACAAAACCTCCTTTACCCCCTCCCTCCAACCTTTCCTAGGCCGACCCCTACCCCGCCCTTCCTTCCACTACAGACTGATCCCACTCTTGAAGTCTTTCTGTTTCGCTCCATTCTCTCTACATGTCCGAACCACCTCAACAACCCTTCCTCAGCCCTCGGGAAACAACAGTTTTTGGTAATCCCGCCCCTCCTCCTAACTTCCAAACTACGAATTCTCTGCTTTAAATATCACACCACACATTGCCCTCAGACATGACATCCCCAAACTGCCTCCAGCCTTCTCCTCGCGGGCAACATTCATCCCCCATGCTTCACACCCATATAAGAGGTTGGAAAAAACTATACTGTACTCTCATACATTCCCCTCTTTGCCTCCAAGGACAAAAGTTCTTTGTCTCCACAACTCCTAAGTGCACCACTCACCCTTTTCCCCTCATCAATTCTATGATTCACCTCACCCTTCATAGACCATCCGCTGACACGTCCCCCTCCCAAATATCTGAATACATTCACCTCCTCCATACTCTCTCCCTCCAATCTGATATCCAATCTTTCATCACCTAATATTTTTGTTTTCCTAAACCTTACTCTTTCCTGTATTCACTTTTAATTTTCTTCTTTTGCACACCCTACCAAATTCATCCACCAATCTCTGCAACTTCTCTTCAGAATCTCCCCCCAAAAGCACAGTGTCCCTCAGCAAAGACAACTGTGACAACTCCCCACTTTATGTGTGATTCTTTATCTTTTAACTCCACGCCTCTTGTCAAGACCCTCGCATTTACACTTCCTTACAAACCCCAAACTATAAAAAATATTAAACAACCACGGTGACATCACACATCCTTGGGCTAAGGCCTACTTTTACTGGGAAATAATTTCCCTCTTTCCTCTTACTCTAACTTGAGCCTCACTATCCTCGTAAAAACTCTTCACTGCTTTCAGTAACCTACCTCCTACACCATACACCTGCACATCTGCCAAAATTTCCCCCCTATCCACCCTGTCATACGCCTTTTCCAAA